CAATTTGTTGGAGCGCAAAGAGGTGAAAGCAAAACTTAACGGTGACACCAACCAACAAATTGACTTGTTTTGGCGCAGAGCTCTGCGTGTGCCACAGACTGACGGATAGTTGTGCGAGCAGTTCTGTGCAGAGTTGCGTGACGAAGTCTTTATTTGTGACAGAGTACTGGCTGTTCAGCCTAATAGTCATATTCAATTAACTTGATATCTTCAGAGGTCTATACAAAACTGAACTAGTGTCGCCAGCCATGACGAATTGACTTGTTTTGAGAGCAGACCGCAAAGAGGTGAAAGTAAAACTGAACCGTGACGCCAACCAACGAATTGACTTTATTTGGCGCAGAGCTGACGGAGAGTTGAGCGAGCAGTCCTGTGCAGAGTTGCGTGACGAAGTCTTCATTTGTGACAGAGTACTGGCTGTTCAGCCTAATAGTCATAATCAATAAACATGATATCTTCAGAGCTCTATACAAAACTGAACCCGTGACGCCAACCATCAGCATCGACTTGTTTTGTACTTAAAGCTTTATTCACAAGGGTCTAACCAAAAATAAGAGGTGACGCCAACCAACGAATTGAGTTGTTTCGGCGCAGAGCTATTGACTGCAAGCTTGAAACCGACGGAACCCGACCTATCAGACCAGCAATACCAGCTCTGCGGGCCCCTGGTACGTTACAAAGCCTAGTAGTCACATTGAACTGGCTTAAAATCCCCGGAACTCTATACAAAACTGAACCTGTGTCGACAGCCATGACGAATTGACTTGTTTTGAGCGCAGAACGCAAAGAGGTGAAAGCAAAACTGAACGGTGACGCCAACCAATGAATTGACTTCATTTGGCGCAGAGCTCTCCGTGTGTCACAGACTGACTGACGGAGAGTTGAGCGAGCAGTCCTGTGCAGAGTTGCGTGACGAAGTCCTTATTTGTGACAGAGTACTGGCTGTTCAGCCTAATAGTAATATTCAATTAACTTGATATCTTCAGAGCTCTATACAAAACTGAACCTGTGTCGACAGCCATGACGAATTGACTTGTTTTGAGCGCAGACCGCAAAGAGGTGAAAGCAAAACTGAACCGCGACGCCAACCAACGAATTGACTTTATTTGGCGCAGAGCTCTTCGTGTGTCACAGACTGACGGAGAGTTGAGCGAGCAGTCCTGTGCAGAGTTGCGTGACGAGAGACAGAGTACTGGCTGTTCAGCCTAATAGTAATATTCAATAAACAGGATATCTTCAGAGCTCTATGCAAAACTGAACCCGTGACGTCAACCATCAGCATCAACGTGTTTTGTACTTAAAGCTTTTTTCACAAGGGTCTAACCAAAAATAAGCTGTGACGCCAACCAACGAATTGATTTGTTTCGGCGCAGAGCTATTGACTGCAAGCTTGAAACCGACGGAACCCGACCTGTCAGAGCTCCGCGGTCCCCTGGTACGTTACAAAGCCTAGTAGTCATATTGAACTGGCTTAAAATCCCCGAAGCTCTATACAAAACTGAACCTGTGTCGTCAGCCATGACGAATTGACTTGTTTTGAGCGCAGAGCGCAAAGAGGTGAAAGTAAAACTGAACGGTGACGCCAACCACCGAATTGACTTCTTTAGGCGCAGAGCTCTGCGGGGGTATCGCGGAGGGCTGTACGAGCAACCTCCATGGAGGAGCTCCGCAGAGCTCCTCCATGGAGGTTGCTCGTGCAGCCCCTATTGCGTCATCCTTGGCATGTCTTCTTCACTGGTTTAACCAAGATTATAGCCCAATGATTGTAAACCACAGTGAACAATATTCTGACACGATGACAGGGATAATCACTTTAAATCTTTTAAAAGCACTCTCTTACATGCATCTTTCTTTCTTCTTCATTCATTTGTAGGTGACATATCGCTCCAAATACCTGCGGGGTGATACATACGAGCGGTGTATGAAGGAGAACAGGATTGCCTTCACTGGCTTCGGAGCCGTGCACTACCCAGACCCCTGCAAGAACATCTTCAGGCGGTAGGCGGCGCTGTTACCCAGTGTGCAAATGTCTAAATTTTTGCGTTGCTTGCCCAGAACAAGCACCCAGGTTATAGTATGTTAAAATAAAGGACTTACGTGATGGCTCTTTTACAGTCGACATGTTTTTCTTGCCAGATTTCTGTCGTACTTCGAAATGGAAGAACCGACGGACAACTGCAACGTGAACTTCCTGAACATCGGGGATGACTACTATGTCTGCACAGAGACCAGGATCATGAGAAAAATCGACATAGAGACCTTGGACACAAAGGAGAAGGTAAGAGGAGCCGTCAACGCAGTTGTTGTTTGTCAATTTTGGCGACACCTCAGGTGTCGAACCTTTTGCTGTAGTATGACATCACCCTCTGCAAACACATGGTTTGGCAAGTTGAGTTCATGGATTTTTCCAAACTAATTCATTCTCTTGAAAGATAGATTTTCTCCCAGCCTCTACATATCATCATACATTTTATCATTTTCTATTCATTTAGATTGAATATTACTGAGGTATAAGATTCCCTAAGAGATATAAACTGTTAATCATTTTTTTGTAGGTTGATGTGTCAAACTACGTCACTGTGCAAGTGTCCACAGCACATCCTCACTATGGATTGGAGGACGGGTCAACCTTCAACATGGGCTCCCAGTACGGGAAGCAAGGTTCCTACAACATCATCAAGGTTCCTCGTCCGGACAAAGGCAAGCTTTTAGGATGGCTTTATTTTGAGTTGACGAAGTCTGAATTTCAAATTAAGATTTGTTTGTATTTTTACTTTACAGTTTGTCCTTGGTAATGACTGTACTATCCACTGCACTAACCACACTGTCCTTGGTGCTGACTGTACTATCCATAGCACTAACCACACTGCCCTTGGTACTGACTGTACTATCCATAGCACTAGCACTAACCACACTGTCCTTGGTACTGACTGTACTATCCATAACACTAACCACACTGTCCTTGGTACTGACTGTACTATCCATAGCACTAACCACACTGCCCTTGGTACTGACTGTACTATCCATAGCACTAACTACACTGTCCTTGGTACTGACTGTACTATCCATAGCACTAACCACACTGTCCTTGGTACTGACTGTACTATCCATACCACTAACCACACTGTCCTTGGTACTGACTGTACTATCCATACCACTAACCACACTGTCCTTGGTGCTGACTGTACTATCCATACCACTAACCACACTGTCCTTGGTACTGACTGTACTATCCATAGCACTAACTACACTGTCCTTGGTGCTGACTGTACTATCCACTGCATTAACCACACTGTCCTTGGTGCTGACTGTACTATCCATAACACTAACCACACTGTCCTTGGTACTGACTGTACTATCCACTGCACTAACCACACTGTCCTTGGTTCTGACTGTACTATCCACACTGTCCTTGGTGCTGACTGTACTATCCACTGCACTAACCACACTGTCCTTGGTGCTGACTGTACTATCCACTGCACTAACCACACTGTCCTTGGTACTGACTGTACTATCCACTGCACTAACCACACTGTCCTTGGTGCTGACTACACTATCCACAGCGCTTAATATACTGATGATTATCATTTTCTACACAGGCCAGAAGGACAGTATGGAAAAGGCTGAAATTCTCTACAAAATCCCTGCCACATCCCCCAGAGCACCATCTTACTACCACAGGTATTGCTATACTTTGTTATTTCTTTGGTTGCTTGTTTGAGTGCCAAATTTGTATAGTTTAAAGACAGTACTTTAGATAGGGTCAACATAAAGTTACCAAAAATTATTATTTATTCTAAAGTTAAGATTCATCATTATGCAAAGGAATATCATCATAATGCCTGTTTGTAATATGCGAGATCATATGAACAGATTTAGGGTTTGATTCTGTTTGAGTGTTACCAATTTCTATTTTGCTTTCCACAAGTTTTGGCATCACAGATAACTACATTGTCTTCGTGGAACAGCCACTAACCTTAAACCTCTTAAGGCTTTTCACTGCCAAAATCCGTGGTGTGGGGAAGAACACTTGCTTTGACTATTCCTCCACAACTCCGGTACGTACATCGAAGAGTATGCAATAAACATTTCTTTCTTTATTTCTTGCAAGCTTTGGCATCACGGACAACTACATCGTCTTTGTGGAACAGCCGCTAACAATGAACCTCTTGAGGCTTTTTACTGCAAGAATCCGAGGCGTGGGAATGAACACCTGCTTTGACTATTCCTCCACAACTCCAGTATGTAATTCTATACATTACGACTTTACTGACTGAAGGAAATACTGGAGCTGCATTGTTGCATTGTGTCTGTGCTATCCTTTCTGGCAGTAGATCCTGTCAATGTTTTTGCTTGCTGGTTGCTTTGCTTTTCTTAGTCACAGTGACTGTTTGTCAGTTTGATAAGCATAACTTTGTACAGAAATAGATGCGGTATGATATTCTTTAAACAACTGCAAAAGTATGCCTGAACATTGTTGATCGTACTAAATAACATACTTTTTCATGGCTAAATCATAGACATACATAGAGTTGACCAGAGATAACAGGAATTTGATAGTACATGTTGTTATTTCTAAAGGTTTATGTTTCGTGGTTTTCAGGCTCGTTTCCATCTTGTGAACCGTGAGACAGCCGAGCACATTTCCACACAGTATCTGGCAGACTCCTTCTTCGTGTTTCACCACATCAACGCATACGAAGACAACGGGAACGTCGTGGTTGACCTTTGTGCCTACACTGGTAGGTGCCGCACATGCTTAGACTATTATACCTACTATTATGTCCAAGCAGATGTTGGGGTGCATGTCAAAGATAGTAATGCTTTCTTTTTGGTGGCCAAGATTTTTTGACAGTCCATCATTGTCAGAGAAACATTATGATTTTTCTTGGATGGAGTAGAACTGATTTACAAGCAGATTTTTGGGTGCAAAACGCAAAACGTTGTAGGGGTGTTGTAGTTTTTTTTCCTGATACCAGGCATCATACAAACTAGACTATTGGAGTTGGAGATAACCCGTGTGTGAGCGATGCTTTATCTTCACTAAATCCTTCAGGATAGCCTTCTAGTACATGCTAGGGATGCTTGCTACAACTAAGGTGAATAGTGTTGCATTAAAATTTGTCTTTTTTTGAAGATGACACCATCATGAACAGCCTGTACATGGTGGATCTCAGGAAGTCTGGAGAGGAGGGTGCCAAACTGTGGCGGGAAAGGATGCCAAATGTCTACCCAAGAAGATATGTGCTTCCCCTCAATGTCACTGAGGTACCGCATCAAACATTAGGCACTATTAAACCTTCCTGCAGTTTTCAGTAAGTCCGCAAAGAAGCGCTTCTATGTGGCTTATTATAGCAACATATCCAAACATTATTGTAAGGATCAGGAACAGTTCAGGATTAAGTATCCACATATCCAAGATTGAAGATATGGGTCTGGATATGCGTGGACTATCCAGAACCGTGCCTGATCATGATTCTGGATAAAGCATGGTTCTGGATACACCACCATGTGCTCCACAGGACACCCCACAGGGAGAGAACCTTGTGAAGCTGGACTACACCCAGGCCACTGCAGTACTGCAGGAGGACGGTAGTGTGCACTGTATCCCTGATGACCTGATCAACAACCAAGACGTACCCGGTAAACTTTTCATTATCGTCAAAACATGGCAAAGAAAAGTATGTTGTCAGCGAGATAAGATAAACTTGCTGAAAGTAAACATAAAAATAAACCTGCACATTGACATAAAATGTATTACCTTGTATGATACTGCACACTCATATGTCTTATTCTTCTTCCATGCCCCAGGATATGAAGCCCCCAGTGTGAACTACTGGAAGTACAGTGGAAGAAAGTACCAGTACGCCTATGGACTGTGTGTCCATGACAGGAGCACTGTGATGAACAAGGTAAACTGATTCAAGTCATGATCCATAACTTCAAACAGCAATATAGTACATATCTATGTCTCTGGCCAACGATTACTTCTTTGCTACAGTCTATAAGCATTCCATTTTGCTACATACCCATGCGCAACTTGCTACATAATCATGTGCTGTTGGCTGTGAATTACTGACACTCTTGTAAACTTTTTCCCTAAAGTTTTGATGGATGTTTGCTTGTGTTGTTCACCCCTGCAGCTGGTTAAGCTTGACGTGAGGAATAAGAAGTTGGTGGGGTTCTGGCACCAGGAGGACATGTACCCGTCTGAACCCATCTTCATCGCTTCTCCTGATTCCAAAGCCGAGGACGACGGTATGTCAATCAAAATCTCAAAAGAGTGGGTGTGGTCTATGACCCGTTGACCACTTTGTCTATGACCACTTTTGAGAGTTCATAGACCATGCCTATGATTTGAAAAGGGTGTTCATATCACACAAGATGCCTTTGGTTTGGTCTAAACTACACCAAAAACATTGGGATATGCAATTATTAAATGAGTAGTTAGATACTAAAGTAGCACTACTTTGCCTTTCTGACTATATAGACTACTATCTTTCTTTTTTGGAGACCCATTTTCTTTTGTCTGTCCCCAGGCGTGATTGTGTCTGCCGTGACCAGCGTCCTTCCTGACAAACCCGGGTTCCTGCTGGTCGTGGACGCCAAAACGTTCACGGAGGTCGCGCGGGCAGAGGTGCCCATCGACGTGCCCTGGGGCATCCACGGTACCTACACCCCCCCGCAGAACAAGGAATAGGCAGGGACAGACGGCGCTGCAATATTTCACAGGGGCCATACTTATCTAAAATGTGTTTCATAGCAATGAATACCAAATACGAGAATAACTGAGTGAGTGAGTGAGTGAGTGAGTGAGTGAGTGAGTGAGTGAGTGAGTGAGTGAGCAAATGAATGATTGAATAAATGAATGAAAAGATTGCCTATGTGCCAACCATATTATTCCCCATCCTAGATATAACGTTAACATAGATAAGTTGAAAAAGCTATAACAAAGGTAGAAATAAAACAAGATCTAACAAAAGATATATGAAAGATTTTAATTGAGGCTTATCAAAGTCACAACATGCAGTAAAAATAGGATGTGTATGAAAATAATTGTACAAAAGTCCATTTCAATAAACTATAATAACATACAGGTAACTCAAACAAAAGTAAGATAACAAAGATAGGTATGCACATATTTACTCTTAAAGCTTTTTCAATGCAAATTAGGAGTGGAGAACTTATTTGGATATAAAGCTTGCATTCACATGCAAATTAGGAGGGGGGAGCTTTTTTGGATATAAAGCTCATATCTACAATGCAAATTAAGAGTGGAAAGCTTATGTTTAGAGGAATCGGTTACTCATGCAGAAGATATCTAAGATTTCTGTATAGTAATTTTTTGCAGTTCTAGCTGACCATGATGTGTTATAACCTGTAAATGATGAAAAAATTTGAGATGACTCTACATGAGTACTCAAAAAAGAGAAGTTTTATAACTGTCTTTTGTATTTTACAAGAGGAATAGTTTATGAACATTGGTGATAAAATAAATGGATAACACATTTATTGTTGCTCTTCTGTGGTAGTTCAGTGGTTTGAATGAACTGACATGGTGTGAGTCTTACTTATGCCAAGAGTTTGCAAAACTACTGTGTTGCCAGCCACTCACAAGCAACTCACACCACACCACACTATACCACACACCATACCACACACCATAACACACCAAAGCACACCACACATTAATAGTACTAACAACACTACACTAGGTACATAAATGATCAAGTCATGGGAAAAATATTTAGAACCTTTGCAATACAAGATAAGTTTAGCGGGGCATACTTATACTCTTGTCTGCTGCCGGCGTGGTTTGGGGGCTTCAGGGCTGGTCTGTTCCTCTTGGGCTGGGATAGATTCAGACAGTCTTGCAGCAGTGTCAGGAGAACCACCCTCCAATTGGTCCTGCTGGAGTATGAATGTAAAAACACACATAGAGATTAAACTAAAAAGAGGTTCAGGTAAATGGCAAAGAATCTCTTCTACATATTGTCAATGTCTTAATTTCAATATAATCATCTTTGGAAAGTAAGCAGGGCTGGCTTTGTGCTAAGCAATGCACATGCACACATACCACACACAAACATAATCGGGAATACATACACGCAAAGTAACCTGGCCTGTCCTTGGTACTGAAAACCATCCACACACAAACACAGCATACAAACGCAGTCACAAATATGCCCACACAAAGCAACAGGCCTGTCCTTGGTGCTGAAATTTATCCACATACATACATACCAAGCATATAAACACAATCATGCACACAAAACGCAAAGTAAGCATCCCTGTCCTTGGTGCTGAAAGTCACACACCACACACACGCGCGCACACACAATAAGACTTTAAAAAGCCCTCACGTCTTCCTGCTGTGACTGTCGGACCCCGCAGTGCAGGGCGTGTCTCCATGACTGAGGCAGCGGCAGGCAGCAGCACAGCCGGTCAAACACGGGGCAGATCAGCCGCGGGTCCACCTGGCCAGGCTTGTTGACTCCTGCAGGGGTTTAATGTTTCATACAACGTGATCAAAGCAAGGGTCAGAAACTGCTACGGTTAAACAGAACGATTGAAAAGATCATTTACATTTTAACATTGCACTAGATATAAATTTGACTCAAAGGACACTTCTCTACTAGCCTTCCAGGCGGAGAACATGGCATAGCAAAAATACTCTCCATGCAGAAGTTATTTCTATTCTTTGGGCCAGGATACCAAAGAAAGCCAACACAAAACGTCCCAAACAGGCGCATCTACTACTACAGGAGGGCCTGCAAGCCCTTTTTCGTAAGGCGTAATCAGGCCGTTTTAGACTTCGTAATTAGTAGGCAGCCTCCGCAAAAATCAACGTAATTCGTAATTGGACATTAGCCGCAAATCGTAAAGTCGTAACAGCTCTGAGACTTAAACGTAATTCGTAATAGGCGGCGAAAATTTTGCGTAATTCGTAATCACTACCCCCCCCCCTTGCAGGCCCTCCTACAGACTCACCAGTAATCACGCTGACCACCAGTCCCACCACTACCACCACGGCAAACGCTGTAGCGCTGTACCACATGTACGATAGTGTGTACAGCTCTGATATCGCCGGCCTAAAAACGTATAAAATATCTATTGGACAAGGAGGGGGGATGTAGGAAAGCAACAGGAGTGAATGGGGCACATTGTGTATATCTTTAGTAATATCTTTATTCAATCTACAAATGTATTCCTTCTGGGTACGGATTGCGCTGTTGGTGGGAGGTGATTTTGACAGTTGATTGATAGGGAGGTCATGCCCGATTGACTTGTGAGAGTGAGAGGGCGGTGTGTGTGGTTTCAGGAAGTGGTGTAATACCCAATTGAGGTACATCATTATTCATTAGTCAACTACTCCATAGTTCTTTAATTTATATTCACGAAAAAAATAAAACACTTCCCAGAGGTATGTGGACTTGAAGGTCACAAAAATCCGAAATACTTCCCGAAAGTCTGAAATCCCAGAGTTCGTCTTAAATTGAAGTAATAGAAGAAACATAAAATCAAAACATCATACCAACCTCGGCTCAACCGTCGGCATCAGTGTACTGCTATAAACGTCCGTTACGAATGGTACAGTGGCCGTGGTTATATTTGCCATGGTTACATTGGGTAGGATACAGTCTGCTATAGATGTAGACTTTGTCGGTGAGTAAGGGGGAAAGATCTTGGCTCCGATAGCGATCCAAAACGCCATGAAGATGCCAGTTATGAGGCCAACTATCGCCCCCTGAAATGGTTAACAAACGTAATATGGTGTAAGTAAAAGTTAGCCATCGCCTGCAGGGCTTCCAGATATATTTTTCAGATATACTTTCTTATTTTCCGTCAACGTTTAAATATAACGAACAGGAAAATAACATTAAAATCCACTATGAAGAGACGGTCGCAGTTATAAATTCTTTGTCTAGTACAGTAAAACAAAATATGGATTGTAGTATTCTGCAGTATTCTTACGTACTGCTGAGTTAGCCCATGGAAACAGCATTCCCAAGGAAAACAGGCCCAGCAAAGGTCCACCGATAGCACCGAATACGCTGTTAGAAGCCTGGAAACACAAACATTTCATAACAATTGCTTTATTATCCTTGTTGCAATATTTTCAAGCAGACCATGGAAAAATCTCGTCCAAACCATTAAAGTCATCCTGGAAGTCACGCGTCATGGGTAGTAATCTTGATCATAAGAAACAGAAATACTACAAACATATCTTGGCTCAATACCTCAAATCTCTTTGTTGAACTTTTCTCAAACCATGTAACATAACGTTTTGAAACATAGGGTTAGAAGCAGACTCTGGTCCTGACCTGCAGTACCTGGCCCATGGTGGAGGCGAGCACGGCAAACAGCATGCACAGTCCTCCAAACACCACCACTGCAACAAGAGCAGTGTGTACGTGAGACCATCTCTTTTGGTGTGCCAATATAAATTCACCAATAATCTCAATACTAATATTGTTAGATTACCGAGTATTTTGGACACCAGAGTGGCTCTTTCTTCAGTCATGTCCTTTTTCTTCAGCACCTTGAGTGTTGGTTTGATCAGGTCTTCTAGAGTCACGGCTGCCAGTGAGTTGATACCGGATGATATCGTACTGAAATTAGTCAGGAGACGTCAGGAAAAAAGTAGGCGGTAAAATTATTACGAAAAAGAACCAAAAAATGAGGTACAATAGTCCTATTTTACCACAGTCCTATTTTACCTACCTGAGAGCTCCACTGAAGATTCCTGCTATGAAGAGCCCGGGTAGACCGGGGATGTCCAGGACTTCCATCACATAGTACGGCAGCAGCTATAAACAGATTGTATATTATAAGTCGTACAGCATCAATTGTTAATCAGTTAAATTTTTTCCAAGCTTTGGTTTCTTTAAATACAGCCAAGCGTTTATTTTAGAAATGACTGAAGTTGTCCTACTAAAGGAACATGACGGACCTGGTCGGACCTGGCGACCACGTTGTTCTTGAGCGGATCACAGCCGTGGTACCGCGCGTAGATTATCAGTCCGCACAACTGGACAATACTGATGGACAGGATCACTCCGGGGAGGTTCAGCCACATCGCTCTGAGGGGCAGAAAATTAGGGATGGTTCATTAACGATGCTTAATGGGATTGTGTGGCTACAAAAGAATTTGGGCATTTTTTGGCAAGAAAACAAATGTTTTCAATAGAAGTTAATCACACTTTTCGTTGCTGTTCAGCACCAAGGACAGAGGTAGATAAACATCATATGAAGGTAATTCAGCACCAGGAACTCTGTACTTTGGTTTTGTATGTAGTATATTGAGAAAAACTTTCGCTTCTGATTAAAGCAAAACACGTTGATTGCACTTTGTGTCGTTGTTGAGCCCCAGAGACAGACGTAGATTAAAAACAACATGGTAAGAAGGTAATTCAGCACCAAGGACAGGTACAGTGGATTTACAATAGTTTTCTTAATTCGAATTCGGCTTTGGCGGAAAAAAACCTCACCGCTTGGCCTGTTTCTCCGTGCCAACAGACAGGTACCGCTGTACTTGCGCCTGATTGGTCGCGTAGACCGCCATGTTGTTGAACGCTCCACCAACCACAAGGCACCACACAGTGTGACGTATGGTCGGGTCTGGGCTGAAGCTAGGCAAATGATTAAAATGGAAAAGATTTACGTTGCGACAGGTAAAAGGACGCTTGACAATGTCAGCATATGAAAAATTGTAACATGATTTTAAACCCGCTTTTCTGGTCAAGATACAATGTAACAGTAGTTTATGTACACGCTAATATTCAATTGTATTTGTATTGCATACATTGTAAAAACCGATGAATGTTTAGAATTATTGACAGCCCCTTCGTCTCAATGAGGTTAATATTGTTTACAGCCCTTAGTCTCAACGGGGTTAACATTGTTGGCAGCCCTTAGTCTCAATGGGGTCAACATTGCTGACAGCCCACATTAACTGTAACTAGTACTTGAAGAACTCTATCCTGTCCGACTCGGCGGCCAGCCTGAAGACCGTTGCGATCCCGCCCGCCTGGATACTGCCCTTGATCAGCACCGCGATCATCCCGGCAAACATGATCACACACTGGAACACGTCTGTCCAGATCACGGCCTTCATGCCGCCCTGTGTGGGGGTGGGGGTAAACATCACTTCTGAATGATGTGTTCAAACATAAAGACATAAATCTGTCGTGTAACTCAATAGCGGTCACAGCCATGCATACGTTGTACCTTGTAAAAATGCCGTGCTCTTTATCATGGCTTGTCCGTGCTATAAAGTAACGAAAACATGCTTGAATCTGCCTGTTTTGAACCTTTAAAATAAATGTACGTCAAGATCACCACCATCACATCTGTTGTGATTTATTGTTTTTGTTTGATTTTGAAGTAGAGAAAATATGATATTGGATTGTGAGTGTATTCGTATTTGTGGGTTTGTGTGTATGTGTGTGAGTGTGTGTGTGTGTGTGTGTGTGTGTGTGTGTGTGTGTGTGTGTGTGTGTGTGTGTGTGTGTGTGTGTGTGTGTGTGTGTGTGTGTGTGTGTGTGTGTGTGTGTGTGTGTGCGTGTGTACATTAACATCTAAATACTCACAATAGTGGTGTAAAACGTGCAGACTACTCCCATGGACACAACAGAGATCCAGACGTTCAACCCGGTAACTACAGAAAGTGGTAACATTACAATTAGTTAGTATAATTACCAATACATCAATCCAAGGTTCCAAGCAGGTAGAAGCAGCTACACGCTACTTCCCAAGCAGACGTCGGAAGGATAGTAAAACTGACAGTTAGAACGCAACTGACGAAACAGCTGCGAAGGTACGGACACAAGTTCACACAACTAATCACAATACTCCTTTCGGTTACTGGCCTCCTTCACGGGGTAAAAAAAAACACCTACCGGCTTGGATGGCCAGAGCTGGAGCAAACAGCACGATCCCCATGTACACCACCTATGTAACAATGAAGTTAGTAGTTCGTTTCTAGTTCCTTAAATTCGGCCATTTTACTTCCTTACATGTGACAAGTGACAGATCATTTTAGTGACGCTTAAGAAGAGTGATGGATGTCACTCGAAATAACCTCTGTAGTTTATCCAGTAGTAGAGTTTGAATTGTCTATTAATTAAACTTTTGGGCGGTCGCGATGATTTTCTCTCCTGGATGCAATGTCTTGAGTCGTCTAATTGGAGATCCAGCAGTTCTGTGGTTTAATGACGTTGGTTTTTGCTTCTTTTTCGCTCGAGGCCTATTTGAAAATGATCGCAATTTGTCTGCTGGCATCACCTAACATCTTGGACTCTAGGTTCGTGTGACGGAATGTCATCAAGTCACAGTTGTGTAGAACACAACGGATCGTCCCCAGCTCTTGTCTACAAATAAGACCCAGATGGGACCTTTCCCACATTGTGTGAAGCGATGTGTCACTCCTGTGACCTTGCCCCGCTGTCTTAACACATTTGCCAGCCTAATAAACGTTTGGCAGCATGTAAACAGCTAAACTTCAGATGTTAAACACTGAGGACTAATTTGTGAAGCAATGTTAAACATCGAGCTTTATGTACAAGTAGTTAATCATTGTTGTGTATATCAAGCACAATATACCACAGGCATTGTAATTTTTATACAAAAAGTGCGACCGTCCTTGTAATAGACGCCCCATACTAAGACATCTATGGAAGTCTCAACATTCGAGCTGCAACATTCTGACGTTTTCTGATGCATTTTTGATTGAAAACACTTAAGAGCGCAAGCGTCTAACGGGTTTTAAAATTACCACCAGTGTAGTGAATTTATAACTCGTAACATTTTGTTTTTACATCACATTGTATGCAGCTAGATCTAGATCTACCCCCTTCCGGACCTACCATTTGTAACATGTAGTTGCACGTTCCCAGGATTCTAACGGGACGAGAGAACCGCATTTCTAAATACTGCAGGAAAAAATGTGTAAAACAACAACACATAAAGTTGACATTTAGTAAGTTGTACATGTACATTGTAATTGTTTGCTGTCCGTTAAACGTTAATGTATTGGACAGAAGCCAAGAGAGTGAGATTTCTCCAAAAGCTTCGGGAAACAAGTGGTGGCATAAACAGAATTATAACCCGTCACTCACATTTGAAAATAAGGTATCATATGTTACATATAAACTTGTAATTAGAGCAAGCAGTGAACAGTTCCAAGGAAAATACGTTCCAGACATCACCATTTTAGAAGGTACATGGTTTTTACTATATAAATAGACTGCAAAAACTAGGTCTAGTTTCCATCTTTTGGAAGTTCGACTATTGTAAAGTGACTGAAGTCTTCACATAAACACACTTCAACGGATACTCGTTAACAATTAGATTGCTTGAATCATAAAGTGTCAATCCCAAATTATCTTCAATAGTCTTGCACTTGACTTGGCATGTATTCGCCTTGAAACACCATATGTTTTGACTTTGCAGGTGTGGCATTTGAACACCATATTTTATGATTATATCGTTCCTGCTGAGTCAAATCATTGCACCGTGGTAAACCAAACTTACCTCGTACGCGCTGGTGAGTTCTAGCCGGTAGAATATCGGCAAAAACACCTGCCCACAGACCGGGAAAGTGAAGAAATAAGAGAAGATGATGACCCAGAATTGAGTCCCGAAGGTGTAGCTTTCCGCCGGTCCGCCGAGCAGGGTAATGGCGGAGGTGAAGCTGGCGAGGAGCGACAAGGCGACCGGCAGGACCCCCATCTTACGGTCCGCCATCAGGAACTCTCGGGTTGTCTTCTGTTTCCCTCCTGTACAGCGGTAGTACACCCCGATCCCGGCAGATATGACTAACATCAGGGAGAAGACGACATAGTCCGCCACGTGAAAAGTTCTCCGTTCCTCCATGGTGCTAGTTTGAGCGAGTCACACAGGGCAAACTCTTACCGGTAAGTTTGCTAGACTTGGCACGGCACACTTGTTAAGTTAAACTCTGGCGTAGACGCCAATTGGGGGACCGATCACTTCTGCGACGAAAGGGGTTTTCCAGTTATCTTAGGGTGAACCGCTTGTAGCTTACAGGACGTATACTTTATTATAGATTCTCTGAGAGAAGAAGATATCTTCATGATTTTCTCATTGCATTGCTTATGGCACCACAGAACGTATGATTATGTGTATTTAGACTTGAACCTTTCAGAGCAAAATGTGACAAGAAAGAAGAAACCAAGGAATTTCATCATCATCAGCCAAGACTTGAGACTTCACATATTAAAATATTCAATCGTCGGATTCTTGAATCCCCCTATGTCCAGCACATTCCTGATGGCTTCCATCCCTATTCTGAAACCCTGACCTTCACCCTGTTTCCTGTGTCTGACCTTATGGCCGTTTTTATCACAGCTCAGCAATACTTCCCAGAAGTCAGAACATAACCACGAATGAAATCAAATAAATCACAACAGAAACAATCATCACACCGTGAATATTTACTGATTTCAAAAAAATAAATATTACAATCAATCATCATTTTTGTAACACGGAACATTACCAAAGCATCACACAATGTCACAACTCCCATAGATTATGTTTCACTGTTTGTCAGAGAATTCTCACTGGCTTCCATGCCATTAATAAACCCGTATCATAGTCACAAAAAGCAGATTTTGTCAAACAATGACTTTTTTGTTTCTATAGTAAATAAATCACTAAGACCAACTATTTTAAATATTAATACAAGTGTATTATGTAACGATTAAGGTGGTACTTTACACATTCCAAACTTTCTGAAAGAAAATGGGATAAAATAAAAGCTGGACCAATATTCTAAAAATCAAGAACAATTATGAGATTTTTGAAAATGGATGAGGGAGGGAGGTGGGAAAGATCCTGAAAATTTAGTTATATTTACAACATATTCAAAAGAACAATTTCAGGAGCTTAAGAGTTTAAGATCATATCAAATACTGTTATCAAATCTCAATTTCAAACAAATTGTATTAAGGATAAAAGCCCAACAGGGCAGTCACAATTAGAAAAATAGAATACAACAAAATGACAGAAGTTGTATGAAGTTAGAACTGTTTAAGACCAGAGGTTACACCATAGTCTATTGATTGGGACATGAAATTCAGCAACATTTTGACTTTTTTCATACCACGTTGTCTCAACTGTCTCATACGTTCACTGGTTTCCAACAGTTAACATGAAATCACACAAATATACACTTTTTTCAGTTTCCATGTTGGATTAATATCTTCTCTAAATGTACGTCTGTCACTACCAACTCTAGTCTAAGAGTAGTGGGTTGTTTTCTTGGGTTCAACATTGAACAACACTTAACCAACACTTGTCTAGCGTATCCTTTATATGTTACTCACAAATCTAAACATTTTTACAGATCAATTCACACACTAGACTTATTTAAGACAACACTTATGTATCATCATGTTTGTAGTTTTTTCCATGGCTTTAATAAAAAAAAGAAGCTTTGCTGAAGAATCTCTGACGTACTAGTATATGTAAGCAACATAGTTTTGAAGATTAAACTGTACATTCAATGTTGCTTGAGTTCTTAACTGTGAAGAAAAATGTTGATTATTCACAATAAATAAAAAAATTTTGCAGAGAATTATTCTGTACATAGTAAAACTGCATATACAAGATTAATTTTTCTTTGGATGGCAAAAATGTGCGCAGGTCGTGAATTTTAGCGGCCCACTGTGCAACGCATATAAATATGGCAGTATTGTGGGCATGATAAGTTCTAGGTATGTGCAGCAATGTAAAAATGTAGCAAATATCAAGGTAAGAAAATTCACCTACAAAATTGCCTATATATCTACAATTTTGGAGTTTTAAACAGTTTTCATACTGTTCATTGTTACATGATTAACACTGCATTATAAGGAAACCATCTATCTTATGGAATTTACACACTTAATAACATAAACATTTTGTATGGCCATTAAAAAAACATGCTTTGGAACAAAGAGTACATAATATATAAAAAGGAATAACATAGGAAAAGAAAAATTAGGAGTAAAATGTCTTAGGCTTCGAGAATGATTTAAAAGCAGTATTAAAAACAATGTGCCATTGGATGTACAATATGTATGCAACAACAGGATATAAAAAGTGACTGAAATCAAATGCAGATACAAAATGCAATATCAAAATGAATGATGTTTAAGTTAAGACAACAAAATGTCTGAAATGAATGGGACTTGGCTCACTTGGCTATCTGAAAATTAAAAAAATGTGGTCCCAAAGCCCTAAAACCAAATCGACTTAATCTTCTCCCAGCTAAATAACCTCACCACTAATACAAATTTGGTTCCAAATGGCTACAGCAAAGAGAGAAGTTTAAGAAATTGCATACCATTTCATTTTGTATTATGTATTTATGTTCAAAGTGGCATTACGTTTGCGGCTCTTGTGGTTACTTGCATTGTGTTGCAACATTTCTTTGAACCGCAGCACCTCCAAGCATGAACTTAAAGTAAGTTAGGAGACTTCATAGATCATGGTGAAAATAACCTCTATATGACTTTAAACACATGGGCTAAGGAGTTCAGAAACCTCCCTGGAAGATTTCACTTCATTAGTGGGTTAAGCACATATTCATAATACAAGTATTTTCTTTGAATGACGATCCTAGTTCCTGCATGGTTGTGGTACATGATGGAAGAAATGCAAATTAAAATATTCAACGAATTCAAGAAAATTAACCAGAACAAAACTCTTGCAATGTGGCTTAAGCTTGCTGCTGCAACGAAGATGAACAGAACTGTTTTTATTGATTTGTTTCTTCACCTCAAGATGTTAACAGATGCTTCTTCTACCCTTTCTAAAGATGCTGGAACTGTCAGTTGCAGGAAGCTCACTCTGCAATTGATGCCTTGGAACCAATGTCATCATCTATGTAGATAAAACACAGCAAAGCATCAGCATTGTATAAACAACATGAACAAATGCATTTTGTGAACCAGTGTTCTTCAAATCTTCCAACATATGTGGCATTAGAAGTGAAAGAATAAAATGCAATGTCCACTGCAGTAATATCCCTGAAACCATCCACTTTGACTAGTTACATTGAAATTGGTTTTGTGATGGGAAACATTGACATTTGCCCTGTAGACTTTTTGAAAAATGAGCATCTCTCTCATCTCTCTTGTTCGACTCAAGGCAACAAAAAGATTGACAAAACTGGACTTTGTTCTCCCTATATAGACTGAGAGTTTGGCCTTTGAACCATTAAGCTTTCAAACAATACATTTTAATTGATTTATTAAGATTACAGAAATTGCCATGGATGACTACCGGTAATGTTCCTTGTTTACGCTTGGGGGAAATTGGGACTCAAACTTCATTCGTTCTCCTGAAATGTTCATGAAATTGAGCTCTGGAAGGAGTAACCAAATGTCTTAATGCAAAGACAATAACTCATTACCCTCAGTGAAGGAAGACGGCAGCTTGGCAGCAAAGTCGACCAGTTCATACGACAGTTTGGGCTGGGACACTCCGTACCAGAACACTGTCCACTGTCCATCACTCCAACTCCCCTCAGATCTCTTGAAGTACCTGAGAGACAAAGTCATTGTTTATGTAACACTGGAGAAAAAAGAAATTGTAGAAAACATTTGAAATTTTTCTACTTTCTACAAAGCAAATATTTTTTCCCTTCATTTTGGATACTTCTGCTTAAAGGGATTCTTTAGGATGATATGCTAATGTCTACAAATTCTGGTCAGTATGCGGGGAGTTACGGTTCCTTTTCGCAATAACTTAGGGGAAATGTATTTCTTTACACAGATTACAGTTCAGGTATTTCCATCAATCTGCAACTATTTGAGTGTAAGTATTGTTAGAGGAAATTTGGGTCAAATTGATGCGGGTTTTTTTCAGTAGTATCATTACTAAGTTTTCTGGAATTCAAGTTAAGAACTTTATTCTGTATAATGTATAACCGTTTATGATACAAAAGAAAACACCATACCAGGGGTTAATCTTGTTGCTTCCTCGAGAACGCCAGAAGAGAGACTTGAAGTCTCGGCGGACATGTTCCCACAGCATCTCACTGGTACCCTGGCCCTGGACACAAGAACATCAACCATCAGTTTCCTTCCACTGGACCTTACCACACATACATGTACATGTGAGTCAAGAAATATTTGCCTATGAACATATGTATCAGAATGAAAGCTAAGGGCAAGGTCACATTGGTCATAGGATCATGCTACCATCACAAACTAAGGGCACCTGGGGAAGTAGTGCACATGTATGTGCCATACAAAATTCAGCTGTCTTGTTTCAAAAGACTGTCTTAGATCCTATTTGGGCATAGGTTCTGTAAAAACGACCTATGATGAATGTGACCAAGCACTAAGCACTAGCAGTGCTCTCATCACAAAGGCCAGGGCTCAGGGAATTCTACAAGTTAATTTGTTACTATAGCCAAGCTAAATGACACACAATCTCAGATACTACAACTCTTGTTGTGTGCAAAGTTTGTACATGATAACTTGTGGACTATGGTTCCCAACCCTTGCACACAGCAAAATGGAACCAAACATAGAAGAAGAAGTAACCACACAGGATTAACACAACCACTCAAATCAAATTTGTGGTCTAAATCCATGCACTATTTTCATGCAGACTTCTATCATTCACAAAAGTCCATGCAATATGTTACATCACGGCCATGCCACACAGACAAGAAGATTGGTACTGGAAACGTCACATACTTCCTCCTGTGTTATTCAGCATGAAGAAGTTCAGAGAAAGGAAAGAAATAGACCAGAGGTTGCTCTTTGTCAGGTTTCATGCATTACGCAGTGCATGGCAAAGACAATATCTTAAATATTGTAGATGTATGAAGATGCAGTAGTTTTTTCTATAAGACAGATTCACTGTATCTTTTTTGTACAAACTTTTTTGTGCACTTTAAACAGTTTGTATCATCTGAAGACTCTAATTCAGGAGCAGAATATCCCTTGTTGGGACCTCCCCTATGAATGAAATTTATTATGCTCACAGAATAAATTTGAAGGCTTGGAGGCTTTCTAAGAGGTTGTCCTTTCTATTTGAATCAATGGCATTTTGAATCAATAGAAATCTGTAGGAGCTCAAGAGTGGACAATCAAAGAGTTTATCTACCACAATGCCACATAACAGGTCACAACATTTAGAACTCTCAAAAATCTTTCAAGCAATTTCTTGTACAAACAAAAATCAGGCGTAGGAAAACACGGAAATTTTACTGCCAAACACATACTAGGATATTGAACACAAACATAGGAAAAGAAAAAGATTTTCGAGCATGAAGACAATCACTGACATCATTTCAAAATCAAACAGAAACTGTGATTCTTCAAACATATCATTCTGTACATCAATCATTTCAGACTGCCTGTTTGATTTGACATGAGGAAAGAACACTGTTATTGTCAGTATTAAACACAGAGAACAGCAATCAACTCCCACATCTTTCCTGGTGCTATTACCTCTAGTTGTTCTCGGTAGTAATACTCTTCCCTGGCCCTAGCCTTTTCATCATTCTAAGGGTGATAAAACAGGGGAGGGGTGAAGAAATAACTAAAGCCTAGCTGCAAGTGAAATAAGCAATGCCAAGCAAAGCAAAGCAAAATGCAGTTAGCAGCATGCAAAAAAAAGAAGAAAAAAAGGGAGTGTCCGTCACTATGTGATATCCCCAACTGAATGTCAAATTTCTTCTAAGCAAAGAAAGAGATTTTGTTATATTTTCTTCTTCTTGACTAACAAATAATCACCAATTTGGTAATGGTATGCAGATGAATATTGGGGGATGCAGCCCAAGTCAATACATACAGATAGAAACAAAGAAAATACAAAGCATTGTTGTTTTTCAAATGAGATACTTGCAATGAGACATTTTAGAAATACTTTGCTAATGCATGTTTAGTGCTAGAGCAAAGATGCAATGAGTTATTAAGTCTAGTGAGCAAGACTAAATATGAATTGTCAACCGCCACCTTTGTGTTAAGGTTAGAATGCATAGATATGCAAAAGATATATTTGACATAAAGATATGTGTACAAAATAGTGGTACAATGGCTCTATGCAAAAGTAATATTGGACAGAATTCTCAAAATGGAAGGCATCAACATCAAATGCTTTAATGATTGTAACAGACCACAATGTAGGAACATGTCAACAAAAACAACTCAAATACATGTTAAGTTAAGGCTATACAATATTGATAAAGTAAAATATGGTTGTATGGTCTAACAAAAACAAAAGCTGTCATTTGTGCATCCTGTTTTGTCTGCAAATTTGATGCAACACGATAAGCAATCTATAGACTTCACTCCCAGATAAAGTGAAGTCTTGGTTTTGCGTACCTGTATCTGTGTGCTGACGGAAAACTTGTCCAAGTACGGCATTCCATCCACCTGTTCATTAGTCACAATGGCTGCAGCATTGTACCTGTGAACAAAGTCAGCATGGTGGTTGGAATATTAGCAACAGAAATGACAAAGTCTTTCTCAGCTTAACAAACTTTGAACCATAAGCATTTGGCAATGGCCAGGTTGAATTTCAGGGTTCAGTTGCTTTAGAAATCTGTCACTGTCCTTGGTGATGAATTACATCTACACTACATGGTTTTTGATCTACCCCTGTGATGAATTACATTCACACTATGTTGTTTCCAATCAATCTCTGTCCATGGTGCTGAATGATGTTCAACCTGTGCCACTTCCAATCTATCCCTGTCCCTGGTGCTGAATGATGTTCAAACCATGGCATTGCCTATCTATTTCTGTCCCTGAATGATGTTCAACCTGTGCCACTTCCAATCTATCTCTGTCCCTGGTGCTGAACAGCATTTACGGTTACACTTACACTTGATCGAATCCCTGTCCCTGGTGCTGAATGACACGTATAATATGTTATCCCCTATCTATCCCTGTCCATTGTGCTGAATGATGTTCAAACCATGTCATCCCCAATCTATCTCTGTCCTTAGTGCTGAACAACATTCACAGCATGTTACACTTACACTTGATGAATCCCTGTCCCTGGTACTGAATGACAATCATAATATTTTATCCCCTATCTATCCCTTCCATGATGTTCAAACCATGTCATCTCCAATCTGTCTCTGTCCCTGGTGCTGAATTTTATTCAGATTATGTTATCTCCTATCTATCCCTGTCCTTGGTGCTGAATGACAATCACACTGATCTATTACAAATCAACCTCTTTCTGAAGCTGAATGATTATCACATGACCCCTGTCCTTGGTGCTGACTGACATACAAATCACCTAGTATCCCAGTACTGCCACCTACCCCTCAGACAGGTACAGAGTGTTCAGTCTGTCCTGCAGTCTCTCCCAGTAGTCATCCTTCAGAACTCGGCCAAAGGACCTGCGTTGGGCAGAGGCGGCTGTTACTTTCAACACACATCTTAGACTGTAATACTACATGCTATACAGTCCTGACTGTATAGCTTTGTACAGCTAAACCAATAAATAAGTACATAAACTGGAACCCTTGACCATTTGCACATGATAAAGACTTCCTAGTGGCATTGGAAAACAGCTTAACAGTTTATTATCACTAAAACCTGCTTACACATGTATGTGTACTGAATTTCCATTCTCAACACTCATCCTATAATCAAGACAATGTAACCCAATGAAAGATTCAACTAATAGTGCTTCACCTTTTAATGAGCTCGTTCAGACGTTTCAGGTCCACATCTGCCAGGTTCTTGTACTTCTTGATGGGTTCTGTGTTCTTAAAGAACGTCCCTGATCCTAGTTAAAACAAGAAGTCGAGCAAAGATAACTATTAGAAAAATGTTTAGTACTAGTATGGCGCAATCCATGCTACACAAGCAACTCGTTTTTGTTCAACTATGAGAAAAATACCACAATGAATTGTTTATTATGGAATGATGATATTATACTTTAATTATCCTCCTTATAAATCCAAAAAAATACATTCCAGATACCACCACCAAGCATGTAGTTTACATACAGTGACAGTTTTATTTGGAAGTTGAGGTCTGGTACTGACCATGGTGTGTGAACAGCTCAGTCAGGACAGCGTTGGCTGACGTGATGACCACAGAAGACTCAGGCGGAAGCTTGTTCAGCAGTTCTGAGATGCGCAGCACCTGTCAGGGCACAAGTTTAAGGTATATGAGTCAAAGAGGGTGTTTGATTAACAAACATGCAGTGATATAGCAACAAGGCTAAACAATGCCCAAAGCACAAATTCAATTTGTTGATTCTCAGATTTTTTAAAACATGGTTAACAAGAAAAATAGGTTTTTGCCTCAGGTTTATGGAGTAAATAAAGCGACTGTTATATTCACCTGACCTCTGCTCTTATGATGTTTGCTTTCTGTACTTTTACCTTAAAATGTTCAGGAACCAACAAAATAAATGGGTGTGTCTTTAGTAAAGCTACTATGGCCTGTAGTTATATGTACCTTCTGTTTAATGGCTAGTGTGCACCAGGGCTGCTGTAGGAGGTTTTCTAGATCTGCTGGAAGATTCACCTGAACAACAGTCTGCTGGGACAAATAACATAAAAAAGTTTCATCAAAATTTAAAAAAAAACAAGCCTCCTGTGCAATGTCTCCAACTTTTGAAGTATGTTGCATCTTCACTAGTCATCTATTTGGTACTTTGGTTGCAGAGGCAAATAACAGTATGTTGTTTAACCAATGCATATATTGCCATAACAATTCAAAATACCCAGGCATTTTGTTTATACAATTCTCCAGAGTTGACTGTTGATTGATTGATTGCCTGCATTAAAATATGTCCCCAAGAAGCTAAAAACTCTTTGCCGTGCTGTACATGATTTCCAGTTACTGTAAATGCATTACTTTCGTGGTGGTTTTATTTTGCAGACTGAGGACAAAGGAGTTTTTCACAATGTTTGAAGTTTACAGCTGAAACAATTCTGGAGTACCATCGAAATACAATACTCACATTTGTGATGTCATGATTTTGCAATTTAGGAAAATAAAACCACCAGGAATATTTCACAATTTACAGTAGCAAACCTGGCACGAATGTTACATGGAACTCAAGCACCATGCCAAGAAGTGCTGTATATTTTTCATCCAGTGCTTACCGCCTCACGCCTCCTATCTGGGATAAGGGACATCATACATGTAGTAGCGGTAGACTGCTCATTTCTGGTGAGCAACTGCAAAGACTGGTGCTGGACAGTCAAAAATTGGGGTCAGTCTGACTTTTTTCTTGTGCGGGGAAATCAAACTAAAATCCTGTTTCAGAACAAAATCCCTACATACGGACCCCTATTTTTTTCAGAAACATGATGGGAAACACAACAACAATTTTCCTAGGCCTTACCAATCAAGTGTAAGACTTTCCAGGCTAAGACTACATGTATTCAACGTGGCGTCGTGTGGTGTAGTGGTACATCACTGGACTATGAAACGGGGAGACCCGGGTTCGATTCCGGGTCGTACCCGAACAAGTCCGAACATGCGCCCCGACGTTGTACCCTTGGGAAAGGTACTTTACACGACTTTCCTCACCTCACTCAGGTGAAAATGAGTACCTAGCTTCGGCTAGGGACGTCCCTTGGATAGGACGTTAAATGGAGGTCCCGTGTTTGGGAACGCCACACCCCACGCACGTTAAAGAACCCACCACACTTATCGAAAAGAGTAGGGGACCTTCCCGGTGTGAGTGGTTCAAACATTACAGTCTGGTCTCAGGTTTGACATCTTTGAAAAGGTGATAGTCACCTGTTATGTCAATCCTTCCACAAATGTGGTAAATTGTCATAAATAAATAAATAAATACCTACCTGGTCACCTCTGTCCACGATGCCCCCCTGGGTGTTTAAGAACATGACCTTGAGGGGAGCCAGGATCTGGGAGATCTGCTCGGTGGCTTCCGAGGAGTCGATGGTCATGACCTGTCCAGTAGACGTCTCTCCCAGGGTGCTGATGACTGGGATGTGTCCAGATCTGATGGAGGAGTTAGAAGTCTTGTTTGTGATTAATGTTACATGTACGTAAGAAATTTCAAAGCTGAGAAGAAAAAATGCTCTAGTTGTCCTCAGCAACTCTGCCCAAGTCATAACACAATCCCATGGTATTGGCTTGAGGGTTTTTTTAAAGTCAGTTTGTGTTAGAACAACAGAACATGTTGACCTACATATAGGCAAGGGACTTGGAGACAACTTTAGAAAAAGTTGCAAGAAGGTCACAGCAAGTTTTGACCACAAGTTTAGTTAGATGGCAGGAGGTATTTAGAACAAGTTGTGAAAACAAATTGACTTGCTATTGCTACATGTATGCTTACCTGAGACACCACTTCAGTGGTTCCGGGTTCACCTCCTTCACAGTTCCTCTCAAGTCAGCACTGAAACACAGGCAACCAAATTACAACACAAGCCTTCCTGATTAACTCAATACTTCCTACTTTATCACTGTGGGTAATTTTGCTGTCTTACAGTCTTCTCAACCTTCTCCCTGCTGCCAAACCCCATAACCAATACAAATTTGTTGACAAACAGCTACATGTACATGTCCTTTAGCATGCTGAAGATTAAAATAGAAATCCCTGGACATTTCTTTCTACCAAAATGCCACTATGTCGCATGTATGATGAGACAACCTCTCTGGACTTAAATTTTTCAATTTACTAAAGGCTTCTGGAATGTTAAACTGAGAGCTAAAGAGACAGTCATGACAGATGATTGACACCTGAGCGGGTTCTTTGGCTCCGCCTCCAGGATGCAGCCTCCGCTGAAGAGCGGTCGAGCCGGGGCACCCTGGGCCTCCAGTACATTCACCATCCGCATACTGTCCTCTACCAGCTGGTTCTTCACATTCTGTATAAGGAATCAAACATTTCAGACTTCCAGCAAGTATGCAACCATCAGCTTCCTGAATTCCCCCATGTCAGCCTCCAATTACTGCTGGCTCCCAGTCAGATTCTATCACTGTATCCAAGAACCTGTAATCTTGTTACGTTACCCGGGACCACAATAACATTCCACCCAAATCAGTTTACACAACTCTCACAGAGGATGTTATGAGTTAATGCTCAAACTAATCTGGCGCCAAGGTTGAAATGTCATTTTCAGCAGCAGTTTGCTTATCAAATGGGATCAAACTTCTGAAAACCTGTTAGACCCTGTTACCATGCTGCCACAGAGGACACTGCAACTCCAGGCAAATCAAAGCCCTTACCTATCTTAATGCAAATATCTCAATGTCAGGTCTGACCAGAGGATGGATACCTTGTCTTGCAGTAAGAAGAGAAAACATTTCCTTGACACTTACATACAAGACTTGTGGTGTCATCTCCACTTCTTCTGGTACAGCGCAGCCGTGCACGATAACCGGCTTCATGTCGTGGCGGTGTAAGAACGCCAGGCACGACCCAAGACCTTCCAGCTGAAGCAACAAAACAGAGGAGGGACACCTCGTGAGAAATGGTCAAGCATCTCGACATTTCTGACAAGTTTAAAACACTGTTGACTCACCATGCATGTAGAGTTACACAACTTCTGAAGGAACATACAAAACAGGGTTTAGATATTATAGAACTTTGAATGTTTCCATCCATTCTATCACTCTGTTGACATAACATATTTACTTGTGTAATGAAATTTTGTTCAGTTACCTTCAGTATGATAAGATGATTTGATAGAAAATAACTGAAAGGCACACTGCTGATAGAATGGATGAAAATTTGAATCTTGTTCTCTTATGATATTAGCTTGTACAGCCAGAAGTCTCGAGGAATCCATGGCAAATTATATAGATGAAAAGTTTTTATGGCTGGAGAAGTGCTACTTTTAAAAAAATATTTGAATACAGACTCTTTCACTCAAATAATTGTTAAAAAAGAATTGAAATTCTTTGAAGATTATTTGGACAGATGTTTGGATCATCTTTTTCCGCTGGATGTTAAGCTTTGTTTACATGTACTTTGTTTACATTTCTTAACAGATGTTGTAGCTTTAATACTTAATACAAGAATTTTTTATGCCTCCTTAGGCAGTCGATGACAATCCTTTTTTCAAACTATTCATTTTGAAAAGGTGCCTTAAAATTTATATTTCTACAGGAGTCCATGACAGACTTGTGGCTGTAGATCAAATTCAGCTATAGTTGTGTAACACAGTACTCAGTAACACAATGACTATGAACATGGTTTTTAACACATCGCAAGCAACAACAGGCAACTACATGTACTGTCTAGCCTTTCTCTAACAATGGTGATATTACTGCTCACATTTTTCTAGACAGCTTATATTGCAGAGGAATGTCCTGAAATTATATTTTCAAACTGTACAAGGCATTTTAGGAGAACCATACTGTAATATTACTATCACTAGGACAACAAGGGCCAAAGATACATGCAATAATAATTGGAATATTGACTGTGTCATGTTTAACAGTCATGTTTAACTAATTGTTTGATTCAAGTTTTTGCAAGACAGAAAGGTATAAGTTTAGGTTGACCAGTTACATATTTAAGATAGTGAGGTATATGATTATCATAATACTTCAGAACTGCAACAGATGATGATATAATTCAAGGACAATCCTTACATGCTTTGAACATCTTCAACATTACCTTTCTTTACAACAGCAAGAAGTTTCACACATGTCTACGTCACAATCTATGTCACAGTGACCATCATTATCTTTAAAACATAAAATAAAAGCACAAAACAAAGCTTGGATGCTGAATTTTGAGGATGAAAATTCTTCAAGATTTTAACTCATCAGATCAACTGATAAACTCAATAAGTCAATGATAGAAATTTCTTGCTGTTGGAATAAATCTCCATACAAAGTTGACATAGCTTGCTCCTACAGTAACAATTTTTTTCTATCTTCAATTCTACTCTCCCAATTGCTTGGTTCAGATTGCTTTCCTTGTTAGTGTTAGGATATCGATACAATGTAAATGAAAGAAATAAACAGTTTTATGTGTAGACAAAGAACAAGCGCTTAAGCATGAAGCTGTCTACTATTCATCAATTGTATCTGTTTTCTGATACTGTGTATAAACACATGAAAACACGATGTAGTTTGATTACAGCCAGAACTTTGTAGCTTTGTGAAATTTTTGTCTGTCATTCTGGCAATTATGATGGTTCCAAACTTAGTATCTAACACTGATAGAACCAAGCAATTCAGACAAGGCAGAGAGCAGTTGCAAAACTAAGTCATTATATGAGATAAAAGGGATTGTTGTTTCTCAAGGTGCAAGATGTCGCTGACACTCGCCTTGCCTCCTCTTGCCGGCCGCCGTCACCCCCTTCTCTTGGCGCCTCTGGGGTTTAACTTACGTGTTATGTGTTAATTTCGGCAAAGTCCGCTCAGAAACCCCCTGACTTCGTGGGGAAGTCAGTGAGTCGGCGGTGGGCAGAGTCCACTGCTGTATAGCACACACCAGGAGTGGTGAAGAGATAGAACGTGTGACAGAGATAGATCTTTCAACACACTTCTCATCACCATGCCATGTTCTATATACACAAACTAGAAAATACTACAGCAGACTGAAACTTTGTCCTCAAATCTTCACAATGAGCCAAAATACAACATCACCATTTACTGAATGCTTACAGGCACATACTATCTGCTTTGTTCAAAAGATTGGAAATGATGTGGATGTTTTTCAAATATTTGACTGACAGTGACTACTCAAGGTCATTTCAAGTTCAACAGTATGGCAACATCTCTTTGGAGATTAGCTTTGAACTTATTGCAAAGGTATATGGACAAAGATTTTTCTCTTATATTCAGAGATTTTAAAAGACACATTGTGAAATTTCAGGACAAAGTAAAAGTATAACTATGTCTCTATAATATAAGGTACTTGGTCCCATCTTTTTACTATTCATGACAGTAACCATTTGTATATGTATCACAGTTGTGCAGTTCCATATACGGGTGCAGCACGGAAAATTGTCATTCCATCATGAATCCACCCACATACCCAACAAGATGCACCAACTCTCACACACACATGCCCAACATTCCACCGGCATGTTCTGGAAAAGGTCAGATCTATAGGAGGTGATTGGTGTCTGTGTTGACTCAGTTATCAGCACTTTATTTGGGACAAGTATTTGGAATGCACACCCGAGCTGTGATAGGTGCACTGTGTCACGTAGTGCCATGCCGGCCATGTGAAATGTTAACACGTGGCACCATGCCTGATCATACATGTACATGTAAAGTGCAGGATGGACCAGAGAGAACTGTAGACAAGTCACTCAAAATGTGCTCTTTTTCTCGTCATTCTGCTTTCAGGTTCTATCAATTGCAACTTGTCTGTGTACGTTACAGTGACAGCGTGATCACATTCTTCGTATGCCAATCATCATACAATTCTGATGTCGTACAATTTTCAACCAGGCTGACAGAATTAATCGCCAACGAGGATCTAACTTCAAAGCCCATTTCCATAGGCATAACAAGATATCTGAATTTTATATGATACGTGTACTATTACGACTATCCCCAAAATGACTTCAATCTGTGATCGTATGGCAAATATGATGAGGCCCTTTGTAAACTTTTGTGATATTCATTTTCAAACAACAACTCTCCCCTACAATCTTTCTGATCCATCCTTCATGTGGCAAAGCTGTTTGAACAGTTCTTATGAAAACAAAGTAATGCAGTACATCTCTGTAGCAAAACTGCTTGCAGGATGATGCATTATAAGGATCCCTAATGCATCAATCTGTCTTTACTTCATATTGCATCTTTTTAATGATAAATTGTCAAACATTTAAAGCTTTTTGCTTCAATCCTGTCAAGCTCTACATCAATAGACATAAGATCTGCCGTGATTACCATCTCAGGTTTAGTAAACACTTCCTGGTCCACCTGCACAACAGCGAATGGGTGGTCTGCATCAGTGGACCGCTGGAACTGTTTCAGCCAATAGCGTGCCTCCTTAGGGTCTGTGCCAACCTAGGGGACCAATCACAGCATAGAATACAGAATGATGAAGAAGTACATCAACAATGCACACAGTCAAAGCTGCCCAAGAGGGCTACCCAGGAGACCAAGGTAAAGTGATCTTTTTGGGAAGGTGTGCAGGTTGGGCCTGGGAAAAGGTGATTGCTATGGCCAGATGGCTGGCTTGAAAAGGCAGCTGCTTGGGCAGGTTTGACTGTATATGTATGGCATAGATCCAAAAGTGTGTGTTCTCCCAAAATCTACTCTCAAGGGTAAGACTGGGCAACTGCTGACAGTGACAGTATGACTGCATTGCACCCCTCTTCCCCATTTAGAAAGTACATGATGTACTAGACGTACATGGCTACTGCACAGGCTACTGGCACAGCATCTATTTTATATAACCTTGACATGTATATGTGACTGATTTATGGGAAGAACCTTTAGATGTCCTAAAATATACAGCCCAGTAATCTGTGCTGGGTTGCCACCCATCCATCCAATTCTGCATGACTACATCTACAAAATGTGCAGCCACGTACAATGTAAAACGCTGGTGCCGCACAGTGTACACATTTACATAAAAGGCCAAGCCATCCCTAGACGGCACCACTATGGCTTGAAGCCATGGCTTGGAATCACAGTATCATGTACATATTGACTTTTCAGGCAGTTTTATACAAAAGATATTGCTGGGTTTGCTTTTCACTATTGACATATTTGAAATGCATAAATCAGGAGTCTGCAGGACTGAAAAGCTAGTATTATAAAAAGATGATTGTGGTTTGCTCCCTGCAACTTCAATTGGGCTATTGTATATGTTAAACAATAGGCTGTGCCAAGTTTTGAAAAACCCAGTCATTTTTCAACTGGTACCAGAGAATTTAAAGGATTCATCATGAACGTAACTATTATGGAGGTTGGGGGAGGGGCAATGGTATATACTTTCCTAGCCTCAGTTACTAAGAGAATTTGCTCTCCAAGTGAAATAGTATCCCTCCAACCTGTGACTACAGGTTAGTGGCACAGGGTACTTGTACATTATTCTATATGTTAAGATTCTATATTTATAACAATAGATTTATGAGTCTGGTCTAGAATGCCTTAAAATAATTTTATGAAAGGTCATTGTACTTCTCCTATATTAGTTATACTGGTAAACCCTGTCTGAACTATTAACTCTTACTAAGCCAGCTAACAGTCAATCAAATAACTTGTTGGGCCTCAAATAACTTTAGTAAGATATGGTGAAGTTGTGAATTTTTAGTTTTGTTACTTGACGTTCTGAAAAGTTAGGTATCATTTCCTTGCAGCCTTAAACCCTATCCTGTGACAAATAGAAAACTGGTGGCATGATGATTTACCTAAGTGAGTCTGCTAAAGGATAACCATTGGACAAGCCTGTCTCTTGAATTGGTAGCTGAACGGCTGCTTCAGCTAAAGGTTAATCACCAGACAAGCCTACCCCTTGAATTGGTAGCCAAATGACTGCTTCACTTGACAAAGCCACCTGTTATACTATAACAACTCTCCATACTGACCTCTTCCAGGAATCTCTTCAGGTCGTGCGCTGCGCCGTTCATGAAGGACATGGGCAGCATGTACGCGTTCTGCAGCGTGGCCATCACACGGCTTGTCTTGGACACCACGGTCGGCGATCGCTCGATCACCGGCTGTGCTGCAGACGTCGCGTAGCCACAACTTCCCACCGGCTGGGTCGGACTCAACTTCTTGTCAAGAGACGTAGAGAACAGTCCTGCAGTGTTGTACTTCCTAGCAGCATTTTGAGCGAGATTTGTGTTTGTATTACCAGCTTTTCGAAAACTGTTCACCCAGTACACTTCACTTCCATCCTTGCAGAGAGCAAAACGACTGTTCTGACAGGAGCACTGCAGTTTTGGCGCTTCTGTGTCTTTCTTTCCTGGTGTAAAACCAGTTGCTCCCCCCTCCCAGGCCTTCTCAGCATGACTGTAGGTGCTGTCTAGCTTTCTTTTCCACGCACCTACAAATCTCGGAGAGGTGTTGTTAGGAACCGTTTGGCACTCACAGCCAACCAGGCTACACGAGAAGTGGGAGGCCTCCCCCACGGCTGCAACTATGTGACGAGAAGCGTTTGCTTTCGCCAAGCTCGCACGACCGATCGAGTTTGGGCTGCAGTCGCTCATGCTGACGTCAGAGCGAAGATACGACAACCTGTCCTTGTGTTCGGTGCTGTCGTGCAGCCACTTCTGACAGGCGTACCCGGTGCTGTTCTCCACCTTGCTGGCACCTCCTCGGCCAGTGGATGTACCACCCTGCTCTTCAGGAGACAGGGGCTTCGCAGTGAGCATCCCGTGAACGGGACACTGAGATAAGGCACTAGACGTCGTCAGCAGACGCTTGGGCGGCAGCTCAGGTGACCTGGCCGAGCCCGTTTTGCTGCTGGGGGCGCACTCGGAGGCAGAGTACATGAGCAGGCAGTGCATGCGGCGGTGCCAGAAGGACGCCTTCTTCTGCAGAAGGATCTGCATGGCGGAGGTTCTTCTCACAGGCAATCAGGATGGACAGCAATCACACAGACCTGCAGGGACATAGAACAGTTTTCAACTGACTGCACTGTGATAGAGCGACAACTCATTCTATCCAACTGTCACTGGGGACTGCAAATCAATGTACTGTACATGTTACATATTCTTAAAAGGAACATTTAAGGATTTTACGAGTCTACAGATAGAACAAGTACATTTGATACATGTATGTTAACGTGTCCCACTGACAGTTGCTAAGATTCAGGAATAAATTAAGAATCAAACTGTCATCAATATTTTAATGTCAGTGTGTGGTTCTCCTGGCCTTTCTAATGATAGGGTTACGGGTTTGTCCATGACACACTGTCTAATGTCTAGATCTACATGTTAGTTCTAGATTTAGATCTACATTCTAGTATTAAGAGTAAATTATATTTAACACAGTCTATCAGTCTATAAACAGGCAACAACGTTAACAAATCAATGACATTTACAATGTAATTGTAACTGGTATACAGTCTTTTCTAGCTTTCTTTTATTTGCCACTAATCAGATTCAAGAATATGGCAATTAATTTCATCAATTTCTGTATGTTTCAGCATTATTTTATTGACTAGTGATATCTGTCATGGCAACACTGCATGTGCATATAGAATACTACCCATAACTACAAAGTACACTCATTAATATGCCTCTCCTATCCCCTGAGAAATAATGGGTTAAAGTCAATCATGGTTGAGCTACAAAGATGTATTTACTGTGAATAGGTCTCTTTAATTATGTTCTAGTAAATGCCAATGGTTATAACCAAATGATCACGGGGAAGTATGATAAGAGTAAGACATATCATTTTCCATCCACAAATTTTAGGCTTAAAACAGGAAGTGAGGGAGTCTTAATACAATTTAATACCGCTAAGACACATTTGAGGAGAAAAAATGCCATGTACATATGTACAAGGCAATCCATTAGTGGGTTTACACAATGTAAGAACCCACAAACATTGTACGATTGATAGCTATGATATGATGGCTAGCCCTGCATTGTAGCTAGTAACAATGGAATATTGCTGTAGGCAGCAGAAGTAGCGACTAGCAACTGACAAGTCTTTGTTTGCAATATTTGCTTACCCGGGGTAAACACAAGCTCTCCACGGACTCAAGTCTAAACCAATTAGGCCCGGACGTGGCACAAGCTCGACGCTGTATGCCGGCCTATAGTCCACAAGCTTGTGCTGTACCACTAGCAGGAAACTAAATCTCACAAGCATGCCTTCAGAATGGCAAGTATTCCCTGCCCTGCAAAATCAATTTCCAAAAAAAGCCCCCTGGGAAATACAACCTGGGTGACATAATACTATAAGAGATGCCGATGTCAAGTTCAATATGCAAATTAGGAGGGCAGGAAGGAGGGAGGGGCAAGGGGAGGGGGGAGGATGAGGTCAGCTTGTAGATTGAAGGAATTCATAAGAAAAGAAGAGGACTCGAATAAAAGCTTTGCCTGGGTGCCAGACTGTTGCTGGGGCAAATATACAGGCTAGCTCCTCTGCTCTAGGGACAACCTGTCCCCAGGAAATTTTACCATAGACTCGCCTCAGTTAGACCCTGGGAACCAACTCTGGGATTGGGGCTTGTGGCTTTCTGGCAGATCTGGGAGTCTGGCATTCAGGGTAGGATTATATATTGTATGCCCAACTAATACTACCATATATCACAAGCAAATAACACAACCCATGTTCTCACATGTATTGTATGGGTATTACAGAACATTTCGAACAAGAAATAAGAGCTGACATGGAAAAAGTAGATAGGTTCAGGTTTTAAGGCTAAGGGTTTACCAGTCCGTTCAGTGGAGGAATAAAAGAAGACCACTAAATGGAAAGGGAGTCCTAAAATTTTTGACAGCTGTACACATGCCATGTATACTGATACATAACCATGGCTTGTAACAGAAAAGGGTTTTATCCAAATGTATGCCACGTATCAAGACACATGTGACAACTGCCTTTTATTTCAAACCAGCAATTGCAATACATGAAGAGACTTCTGGAACTGTGTAATCTTCATTCCTCTCACCCCATACTGAACCTTTAAAAGCATGAATTTCAGTCCGCATATTATATCAAATACATTTGTAACGTTACATGTACATGTATATGTATTATAGTATTATAGCAACAGTAACAGTTTGACTGTTGCATTATAGTTCCCAATTAACCTTGTAAAGACAAACTACTTTGATGACTTGTCCGGACAGGTCCTCAACTGATGTCAACACCTTCTGAACTACACATCAATTTTCACATTCTTCAAGGCCACACCTAGCCACTCCTAGCCACTCCTAAAAAGATTCTTTTCACGGTTTTGACTGTACTAGAACTTCTACATTCTTGATGACAATGACACTGTAATTTGTAGCCCAACCACCTAATAAGGTACCATTAAATAAATGGTGATTTTCAAAGATAAGATGTAAATGAATATATACAAACAATTCCTTGACCATAATTGAGTAAGATGTCCAGATGGCAGATGATTAAGATAGGTCAGGAATAATAATTATTGAGAGGCCAAATTCATGATCAAGTAGATGTAACTCAGGTCCTTCAATGGTCTCACTTTCATTTTAGAGTGGACTCATGAATATTGATGTAACGATGTAATGATCAAATCAATGGTTGTTTGATACCACACCTTAAACTTCAAAAGAGTCGTCCTTCATGATGAAATAAAACTTAAACACCTGAAAGCATAAAAATTGAACGTTTTCTGACGTTTTCAAGACAGAACGTAATTTTGATCTAGATATTGTTTGTACATGTACAGCAACAATCGGCATGTATCATCATAACATGCATTAAAAAACCTTTCAAACAGCAAGCTTGAATTTTCTCCAGTCAGTTCGAGAACATCGAACATTGTCAATTTATTGACCTATACTGTATACGAATTTGGCATGAGAGATCTTTGGAAAGGATCGGGGATGCATGAATAAGCCGGAACACTCTCTGGTCGAACCAAGGACAAACCTAATGCCAGGGCAGATAAGCATTAACCATGGCCCTGGAACTGCCTGGAGCAAAAAGTGTCCAGTAAACATTATCAACAATCACGGAAAATGTTACAAACCTTCTCTGGTTTCATGCTGCAGGCTTCAATATTATGTAGTCAACTCATAGTCATATGTGCTGCGGGAAGCCAGAATGAAACACTTAATGTGCAGCCTGCACAGTACATGGAATAAACCTACTGTAGATCAAGTTGAATGCTGGGCTGAACCATTTGATACTAGGGAGGGAATCATAATGCACCCTTTTATGCTTTCAGCAGGTTATCGATTAACTCTTGAGGCAAAGGGTTTAGGATAGCTTTTAATTCTCTAGAAGAAATGACGGCTCATTTCAGTTGGAAGGGTGTTAAATTTTTTATGGGACTTAGTGTATTTATCTCTAAGTCTAACCTAGCAATCTATTAGCACGCCATGTCCAAAAGGCTGTAGCATGTAGATTTGTACTTGTAAAGCTGTGTTAAACAGCTGTTCATTTCGCATGCGTACATCAATAAAACAAACAGGTGAAACAATGGACTTTCACTTTGCAAGCAACGTACATTGTAGGGCATGTGTCTGCGGTGGTGCCAAAGTGCACGTAGTTTGCAAAATGATGTAATCTTGGGGTAATGGCATGATTTATTAACCTCTATAAGTAGATGTTGGGTGTTACTTACTTGACAAGCTAAGCTTTTTTCACACACAGGATTTTAGAATCTTTTCTGGTGGTCAATGTTTTAGTGGATATAGATGTGTGTAAATGGGTCAAAATGACCTAGAAATAGCACAGCCACGTGATGACAATATCTCAATAGCAAAAATATTTTAAACACAGTAATCACGTTTTCACACACACCATGTGCCCTCTAACCCAATGGACTGTTCCATTTTGCAACCCTAGGTTGGAAATGGGGAGGAGTTTTATGGTAGTACTCAAAGTCTACTTCTATAGCTACAAAAGTTGCCATGCTGCTTTTGTCAGAATATGAACAATATTTGATAACTAGCAATTACCTCCAATTTCAAGACTATCATATCTGATCACTGTAAAGAGGATGAATAAAAGAAATTGGTTCGTCTGAAGTGTCTGAAAGTGATCCAAAAGTCTGAGGTTTCAGCTGTGCAGCCATAATTCAGTAGATGGAATAAGGTTAGAAAAACACAGTTATTCTTAGTCTGGGTTGAATGAAGGGAGCGACATTGAATCTAAATGTCAGCAATTTGACCAGCCCCTGAATACAAAGCTCCTTTTATCCTGAGCTGTGGATGGATTATCATGTGTACCATGGTTTGTGCTTTGGTAAAGGTTTTATAAATGGATTGTCAGTACAAACATGATGTTGTACATACAAGATGTGACCCCATTCCTCTGCACTAGGTTTACCAGCTAACAATGCTGATAACTGCCCCAGGGCAACAATCAATAAATCACATGCAATTATAGGCTTAATCTAGATCTGTGGACAATGGATGACTACACAGTTTGTCGGTACCAACTGAAACCTGTGCAAATCTTAATATACCGTAGCATTAAACATGCAGGCACCTTCTAAAGAAGACATGAATCAAACTTCTAGCTGACTTTCAGCTTGTATTAGACCAACGGTCTTTGAAAAAGATACGTCAGCACTACCTGCAAAGGCTAGACTTTAGCAGCTCAAAATGTTAGCAATGTACAATGTAAGATAGCGACTAATCTTATACTAGACCAACCATTTTTGTTCCAGACTGTCGCTCATCAGTGAATGCAGAAGAAAATACAGATTGCTATATGTTATTGTATTATATTCAAAACTTGTGGCATTCACACTGGGCAGTAGTCGTGATATTCGCTTTAGAGTTGAAAGTAACCAATATAAATAAATGGTGCAATGAACGTCATAACACAAATCTCTTCAGATTCTAATTTCCATAACAGCCTGTTACCAAGTCCTTGAGCTGTGTTTTCCTGCATGACTTATGCACGTTAATAACAGTCACGTACTGCTATCTTGACGTGCATCCAATTATCTTCACTGAAGTACAACCGTGCTCGGCATGATTATAGTGCTATTTCCTGCCGGATCCTAGTAATGGGAAAAGCAATTACTGGTACTGTATCTTAGCTAAAATCTCCTGCTGAAATTGACATCGTCGGGTTACTGTACATTTAACTCTCTCAGCTCTCAGAAACACACGCACGGAGCTTGAACATATACACAAATACATACAAACATATACAAATGTACACAAACACACACATTAAGCACACACACATTCATGTCCTTGGTGCTAAAAGCCATCCACATACACATTGTACACAATCACACAAACAGGCATATACAAAGTAAGCAAGCCTGTCCTTGGTGCTAAAAACCATCTACACATGGTACACAATAACACTAACATACACAAAGTTAACAGCCCTGTCCTTGGTGCTAAAAGCCATCCACACACGGTACACGGTATGCACACACAAAGTAAGCAGACCTGTCCTTGGTGCTAAAAACCATCCACACATACACAATATACATAACAAATTAAACATGTCTCATTTTCAGAATTTATAGACTCAATTTTGAAATGCCATCCAAATCCTGGCCCTGATACGGATTAGAATCAAAGGAAGCTTCCGAGTGATACATTAAAAAACACAAAAACTTAAAGACTAAGCCTCTTTTCCTATCAACTTAGTATGGTATGGCACAAGTATTATATGGCTGGCATGGTATTCTAATCCTGCTACTGACTTCGTACTGCCTTTATGGCAGTACTTACTCTTTTTATCTAAATGCTGCAGGAGGCCATCCCAGCTGTGCCCACATAATAGACATCTTGATAAAAAACAGACTCTCCCATTCCTCTTCCACTTCAGAACGTCACGCTAATCACATCTTTTATCCAATTCCTGCCATCCAATTTCCGGATCCGAGGATGTTTGCGTCACGACTTACGCATGTGGCGTCATTCATACTTGTTCCTATTAACCCTGCTTTGGTTGGGCAAGGGGGAGGCCGTCTATCTTGTCATTAATCGTGGTTAGGCCATAGCAAGTCAATTTCATGGCTGTCATCCCTTACAGACTCAAAATCGAATGAAGAATGCAAAAAAAACATGGGTAAAAAAACTTGATGCATGCATTTTTAGAACAGACAGACCACAAACATTGTTTGTAATATGAATCGGAGCAACAAAATATCTTATTACCTTAAATTTATTCTTATATTCAAGAAGCATAGAAAGTGACACTAGTGTAGCAGCCTAGTATCGGTATCACTTATTACCAAGTTGGCAACTATACAAAAGGCTACAACACTAGTATTGCTTCTACAAGTTCTGA